GGCCAGGAGCCCCTAGTAGCTTCTTGTTCCTAGTAGTAAGGCCAGGAACCCCTAATAGCTTCTTGTTCCTAGTAAGAATGCCAAGGAGCAGAGGTGGTTTCAATTGTTTGGTCTTGCGCCAAGTCGCTCGGTGTATGATCGCAACAGCAGGTCACCGAAACAGCTGCTCAAGTTCCTGGATTAGCAGACGCCGCAGGTGCTGTCCAAGGTGTTTGGAACACAGTGAGCCCGGAACCCATTTGGACTAAGCTGGTGAAAAGCATGTGATACCACCTCGCTTGAACCTTTGAGCCTTCTTCCTCTTTCACGTGCGACTCAGGCGGCGTGGTCGGTTCAATTTTTGGGGCAACTGGAGGCGCACACTGTTAGGGTCCTTAGGGTCCAGCTCCCAGCTGTAGCGCACTAATTGCCACAGGTTGCTCAGGCTATGTGGGCATGTGTTGGGGCCAATGCTCCAATCAGCAGCAGCTGGGCTACACTGCTTCATGTCAGTGGGGCTCTTGCCAATGTAAGCCCGGTTTTTGCGCCAACAACGGCGCCTTGCTGGCAGTATTGTTGATGCTGGGGCAATTCTGCAGGTTCCGTGTGCAAGTTTGGACATCCTGAGGTGTATGTGAGATGGACCTTTCTGGTATGCTCAAGGGAGCGGCAAGCAATTTCATGCGCTGAAGAGCACATCTATGTCTCAATGCTGAATGAAAAGTTGCGAGCCTATGCCAAACCCGACCGTGTTCAGCTTCACAGTCGTTATACAATAAGATACAATAAGTACTAATTATATAAGTAATTGCTCAGAGGACCATCTTTCAACCTGTACATTCCTCTCAACTAGATCTTTCAACCTCTCAGCACTTGAGTGGACACTTGCACAAACATCATTGTGCAACGTGTGGCTTTCATTGGACCTTCCTTGCTGCAGCTTTGCAATCTACATGTCGACATTTGCGATTAATTGGAATTGCTTTATCAACCTGCGACTATGGTCCCGCCGTCATTGGGTATGAGGGAGACTTGTGGGTCCACAGATGAAAACACATTTTGAGCTGACAAGGGCAAGCACGGCCATCAATCGCACATGCTCTCAACTGTTTACATCATGAGTGGCATGGACAGCCACCAAGCCACCCTGTCATGCCATGTTGCGGCGGGCTGAGTGCTAGTTCCGAGCGATGGCTTTGGAAACTGCACAGGAGAGGTTCCGAGCGGATCGAAGATCGAAGATGTGAAGGTTCTTGTTGCAGGAGCGAGGACGCTACTAGGGGCTCCTCCTGACATCGCTACTAGTAACAAGAAGCTACTAGGGGCTCTTGGCCTTACTACTAGGAGCGGACGCTACTAGGAACAAAGGGCATCGCTATTCTGACTAGCTCGATCAGTTTTGCTTCTTTCGGGACCGCACTCATCCAGACTGGCTGCTTTTGGGTTCATTGCTAGTCCGAAAGGGATGCGCCGCCCCAAGATGTCCCAAGTATCTAATCTTACTACTTGATGAGGGAAAGCTGGTTTTGGTATGTTTTTGGTCGGGCATCAATTCAGACAAGCTTTACGCAGGACTTACCGTTGCCCCCTGGGGATCCACCAGCATCGCTGGGAGAAACTGCAATGAGCTCAGTCCAGGAGCCCCTAGTAGCGTCCTTGTTCCTAGTCGCGATGCCAGAAGCCCCTAGTAGCAATGCCCCTGCTCTTAGTAGCGTCCTCTACCTAGAAAATATGAAAGCTTCATGAACCATGATAGAGAGACAGCAATGGCCTCCAACCTAATAGCTGCACGAGCCATGATAGAGAGCACCAGAAAGGTTTGATTCGGACAGTGTCATCATGTTTGTGCCGTTGAGGCTGGACTTTCCAGACTCCGTGGTACACTTTTTGGATATGACTCCTCGACCACCCGAGCACCTTTCGCATATGGTTTGGACCTGAGAGGATCCAAAGAGATGTGAAAGGAACCAGTCCTGCAGCAGTCCTGCACGCTTTCTAAAGAACTGGTGCCAAGGCTTGATACGCCCTGAGCCAAGTGTTCAAGTGACTTCGACAGCATGTGGCTTCGCAGCTTGTGAGCTCAACCGAGGTGCTGACGATGGTGAACTGCATTTCTTTGCCCGTGCGCTTGAAGCTTACTGTCAAAAGAAAGGTTTGAATACAGTACTTGTTTGTTGCAAGAATCTGTGTTTGTATTGTCGCCATACTCCTCCAAGTAAATCAGCTGGCGTACCGTCAGATGTCACATGTCCAGTTCCCAAAGGCATTTAGAGCGGGGTGTCATTGCGGAGCTCTTGCAACCTGGAGCCCCATTGGAGTTCTTTTCTCAGAAGGTCAGTGGGTGTGTTGTAAAGGGTTGCACGTCGCTGCGTGCTAAACAGTTTGGCCGGAGGAGTTCCGAATTGCGAATGCAGAAAGCTCTTTTAGTTCCGAACGAGTCTTCCCTTGCCAGTCTGAGCCTGACATCCACTGGGCATTCGGCGTGCGGAAGCCCAACGTTGTGACTTGGCCTTCTGAGTGGAAGATCTTAGATTCAAATTGTTGGTAAGCGGGCGCAACTCACCAGGTTCGGGCTCTCAAGGTCCCGATGCAAAAGTCGTCCACGAAGTACCGCGGTCACGCGGCAGCTTTTCCAGTGGCCATTGGCGTCAGAAGGCTAGCGCCCCACCACTTTGGTTTGAGGCGGCAGGGTGACAAATGGTCATGTCAAGTACCCTCACGATGTGCGGCGCACATTTCACACAGGTGAAAAAGAGGGTCAGTGCAAAGAAAAGTTCAAATTAAAACTTCCTTGCTACCATGGGGTGTTCGAAGCAGCCGAAGTGCCTGTGAGGTCACCATGCGTGTTCTGTGTCCAGTGTGTAGCACCAAGTGTGGCCTTTGGGGTGCACTCATCAAAGAACATGTGGGAACACGCTTTGCATGGTTGCCTCTCGTAGACCACGTTCGCTGTGCGCCCAGCGACGCATCCTCGGCTTGCATGCCAGCATCCACCCATGGCTGCCAAATAGATTGGCTTCAAGGAAGCACTCTGCTTTGCAACCTTCATCTTCTGTTGGAGGGTGTTCTCGCACTCTTCTAGGATCTTCTGGTTCATCCGCTGCAAGACTTGTACTTGATGGCGGTTCTCCTGGTAGTTCCCCTCTGCAAGGGCCCATTCATTACGAAAATGAGCCACTTCTTCCAGCAACTTCATCTTGTCCTTTCGAAGCTCCACAAGTCGCTGTTCCTCCAGACCTGTTCGATCGGTCTGCACAGAGCACTCTCTGGTACTTTTGGGTGGAGAACTCTTTATTGTCCAGCTGATGGATGTAGTGCCAAAGCATCTCATTCCCAGCCAAACCATGATGCCCAGGAGCATCGTGAAGAAGATCAAAAACATGAAATCAAACATGTCATAACCCTCAGGGATGTGGTGCTCCCTCATAGTTCCATTGTCACCCTTCTCTGTCTCATGGGCGTTGACCACGTCCAGGAAGTAGTTGGCAAACATGGCATATAGTGCCCGTTCCGGTCTTTTGATGGCGTACATATTTTCGCCCTTCTTGCGGCTTGAGATGTTCTTCTTCTTGGAGGCTTGAAAGGTCTCATCGCTCTTGAGCTTTGTCATGTGGGACCTTAATCTCTGTCCCAACAAAGGTGCAGCAGCATCTTTTGTAAGGCCATCTGCATATTGGAGTTCTGATGACACCCACATAACCTTGCCATTGCAGCAAGCCAGCTTGTCTCTGCAAACCAGGGCCTCGATCGTCGTGCGCTTGTCTGCTCCAGTTGCTGCCTGAATCTCCTCCTTGACCAGAATGTCATAGAGGGCCTTGGCGTCCACAATCAACTTGGGGCTGTTTGCCAAGCGTCCAGTCTCAACACTGTCTAAGGGCAGCAATGCTCTGAAGATCATGTTCCAGAACAGGGAGGTGTACATCAGGCTATCTGCTGCTTCACTTGCGGCTTGAGACTCTGCGGACAGGGTGCTGCGAGCCACTCTTGGCAATTTCCAGCTGCGCCAGTCGAGGACGTTGTAGTGCCCTTCACACTTTCCATCTGCAACATCTTTGTGGCACATAGCCAACAGGTACCCCCCTTGACTGCTCAAATCTTGTCTTGTTGCAAACGATGCGTCGCTGTAGACGACGAAAGTCATCTCATCCTTTTCTCCCAAGCGACGGTACTGCAGTCCAACGTCCGCGTACTCCTTGGCATACCGAAGGTGTTTGTTTCCCTTCTGGAGGGTTGCCACTGTTGCTCTGGATGTCTCTCCGGCCAACTGAGAAATTCCCACCTGGAGATGTGGCGAGCTCTGAGTCGCTGGCCATTGCAGTCCACCAATGAGACCACGGAGTAGGGATCTCTCCTTCTCAGTCACTGGGGTGTCAGGCATCTGGAGACGTTCCTTCGTGACAGGGATCGGCTTGACCTTGTGGATATACTCTTCTTGACCCAGGGTGATGACTTCTGCACGTTGGCAATCAATTTGGCTGCCACAGTATTCAAGTTTGTCACCATCTTGCCATTCCCGGAAGGTGAAGACTTCTTGTAGCTTCTTCTTGGTTTCGGTGAAGATCGGATCATCTGGGTTCCCACATCCCACCAAATCATCAACATGGATCCCAAAGATGCCGGCCAGATCACGTTCCACATTGGGGTCCAGTGGTGTTCCTTCTGGCCAAGGCTTGTAGACCATGAAGAGACATGGGTCAAGGGGATGGCGAAGGATGTTGCCATCACCAACTTTGAGGATGCGCTCTGAGGCCTCTTCGTACCATGCTCGTGGTGCATCGCAGAGACCATACATCGGCTTCACCAACTTCATCAATTGGGGAGCATCTGCATCAAGGCCCAGCAGCATCTTGGCATCTTTTGGGAGTTTGATCCAAATCACCCGGTCAGATCCTTCTGCGAAGTTCTTGCCCTGAAGGAATGCAGTTGTGATGTCTGAAGTGAACATCTTCCAGGAGTAGAGCTGGCATATGCTCAGGATCATGCCCCTTGCCAGTCTGGTCAATGTTGGTGCATTTGTCGTCAGTGCTCCAGACAGGGCATCAGGGTCTTTGAACCCTTGAGTGATGAGTCGAGCTTTTGCCCTTGGTGTCCCATCTTCATTCTTCTTCCAGGTCAGGATGAAGTGGGCCTTCAACACTCGGGAGGGATCTGCGTTGTTCTCATGGTCATAGAGCCAGACCTCATTCTTGAAGAAGCTGTCCAGTTCTTTGATCTTGGCTTTCATGAAGGCTTGTCGATCGGAGACGGACATGTAGCGCTCATAGACTTCATCTCGGCCCTTCTTCTTCTTGGCCAGAGGTTGATCTCCTGAAGTTCTCATGGACTTGTAGCCTCCACTGGCTTTCTTGTAGTCTTCTTGAGCTTTTGTCCTCCAGTTGGGCTTCAATTTGAACTTTGTCTGTCCAGTCCAGTAGGCCTCCTCAATGAGATGGTTCACACTGTGCCGCTTCCATCTATCCTTGAAGGTGCCATGCGAAGTCGCTGTCACTCTGTCCTTGGCGAGGTAGTTGAGGTCAACCGGGCATGTGTCCTCTGTCGGCTTGAAGGCTCCCTTCCTGGGCACATAGTGGTTTCTGATGAGCCAATTTCCTTCCAACGTCCACTCATCCGTGGGGGCATCAAGACACAGCCATCCATTTTCAACATGCCAGCCTGGGGGCAAGTCTGTGATCTTCTCGATGTCGATGTCTATCTGCATGTTGAGGTCCTCTTCGGTCGGATGGTCAT